AAGGCTCACCTTCACAGAGTGCCCTGAAGATTTTAAGCTATTTGTCAATAACAGCTGTAATTTGAGAGGGAAATACCTTTATTAAGCAATTTGTCTTAACGCCCCTTAATTTACTCAAGTCACAACTACAGCTTTTAACAGCATACATAAAAAAGCTCATACCCTATAAATAACCAAAACAAAACCCAAAATTCTTGCTCTAAATCAACCACACACTGCAGACAACTTCAAGCACAAATTAAGAAGTTTACAAAGAGAACAGAGGAACAGAATCTTTCCATAAATTACTCCAGGCTACAGAGGAACTTCAAAGACCACTCATGGTTTAGCAATCTGCCCATAAAAGTACAATTGTTCAGAAGAGAACTTTTCCCTTCTCCTTCTCTCTAATTCTACCTGTAAGCATCTCAGCCAGGAACAACTGAGGTGGAAAGAAGCAGGAGAGTTCAGATAAAAGGACTCTTCTGAAAGCAGCAAGCAAAGATTACACAACTACACTTGCTCTGCAACCTTCCAACAGTTGTAGAAAGGAGCTTCACACAGCGAGAACTGTACTCGCCAGGCAGCACTGAGTCAAGAGCCCAGATTTTTGTTACCAAATACTTTGTCTGACCACCCAAAAAAAAAAAAAAAAAAAAAAAGACAGTTCTAGGAACAGAGGGTCAGCTTTGGTACCTTCTTCTTCCCCTCTACCACCTGCAGTGTGAAAGGCTTTACAAGGTAAATACATGCATTTGGGTTTTTTTAAGAACAAAATCCTTTTAAATAGCTGATTACACACAGAATTCTCTCTACAGAAAACCTCCACAGACAGTGAGAGCATGTTAATGGAGCTTACAAAGGAAACTAGAGAAAGCTGAATTAATTCTTGTTACAAATGTCCATCCCAACATGCAGAAAGCTTCCAGAACCCCTCCCTGTACAAGGACGAAGGGCAAGGCACAGAGATGTCAGCACAGGTCTCTTCTGCTTCCCCACTCACACAATCTCCTTTTTTTCTTTTTTTTTTTTGAGCACCACGAAAGGCACAAGCCTCGGAGGAGAGCTGTGCCCACAAGCACAACTTGGACTGAACCCCACCATATTGCTCCTACGTCACAAGGAGAATCCAGGACCAGAAAGAGAAGCCAACGGGGCTCTGTGGGACATTCTGAGATGCTGACAAGCAGCTCCAAAAGCAGCACCGCCAGATCCCAGAACCCCCCAGTTGGAAGGAAACCAGCAGCTTACAGTTTGCCCCACGATGGGGCTCCAGGCTTACAAAGCAGATGGGGCAGGGGTAAACCCAGCCTCTTCCCAGCTCTGACTGACATCTGGTCCCAGCTAGAACCAACACTGTGTGCTCTAAAGCTTCGGGCCCTTCCCACACCCCCTGGGTGAAGGCCCAGGCCCCCATTACCTTCTTTGCTTGAGTCACTTGTGTGGCAGCCACCGCTTTGGGTTTCTGTCCCACATCACTAAGGAAACTGGCCCAGAGAGCATCCTCTTTCTTTTTTTCTTCTTCTTCTCTGTTTCTTTCCACCAGCTCTACATTATCCACTTCCTCTTCCTCCTCCTCTTCATTCTGTTGGGCCTTTTCTTCCTCTTTCTCATCTGGTTCTAGCAAGAGACCTCCTTTCTTCCTCTTCCTGGAAGCAGATGCCAGAATAAAAATTATACTGAAGCGCTGCAACACTCCTCCAGAGCTGAATCATAAGCATGGCTGAAGCAACATGGAAATTCATATTCTGGATAAGACATTCTACCTGAAAGGTTTCCTCTAATCTTGGGGGTGAAGCTATTTCATTAAAAGATGACGTTATCCAGAAAACACAGCAAGCCTGAAGCTGGCAGTCCCCCTGAAGTGGACCGGCACATGTGTGCCTGGAGCTGTAAGTATGTAACGGACTCTAGGACACTGCGGGAACCAGGAGGGGAGAAGAACTTGGGCTGGATAGGAACCACCCTTAAATAAACTGTATATATGGGGGTTTTCTCCCTCCGAAAAATGCTTTATACTTGAAAAGGCTTATTAAAAGGGAAACAACAAGCTCCCGGGGCGGGTTTTCAGGCACGGTGTCTGAAGAGAGCCTGAGGATCGCTGCCGGTCGTTAAACCGGAACGAAGAAAAGCAATTCTCGTTTCTCAGCCCCTCAGCGCTGCGCCTGGAGGAACGGCTACCGGCGGAAGCGGCTCCCAGCC